TCCCATAATTGTGAAATTTTTATCATACAAAACCAGAGATGCACTTTTATCAAACGGCAGGAAACTGAAGAACACTAACTACAGCATCGGGGAGGACTTTTCCCGCCCCGTTCAATATGCGCGCAAGCAATTACTTGCATTTGCAAAAACACGTTCGGACAAGTTCTCCTTGCGGTTCAAAACGCTGCACGTCGGGTCGAAGCGCTATATATTTGACGCATCATCACACATGGTTAAGGAAATTGCATAGCGGTTACCCCGCCAACAAAGAGCAATAAAACGCCAAACGGCTTCCCCATGTCATGTTCTCTCGTTTTCCGTAATATTCACTAACATACGTAGCCTTCTTCCAAAACGTGAACTCATATCCAACATTATCTCGTCATCAAAAAGCAACATACTCGTATTAACAGAAACGTGGCTTACCAGCGATATAACGGATGCGGAAATATTAACTGACTTACAGGACTTCCACGTGTACCGAAATGACCGAAATGGCTCACGGGGGGGCGGAGTACTTATCGCAGTTCATCGGGGCATATCTTGCTCCGTTGTTAACGTCGATTCCGATACCGAATCCCTGTGGCTAATTTGTCGTACTAACACCGTAACTGTCCTACTTGGTGTCTGCTACAGGCCCCCGCAAACGGATCCAAATTTTCCATGTCATCTGAACAATTCCATTCAAAAACTTACTTCCGCTTACCCAAAGGCTCGCATTCTTCTGTTCGGTGATTTTAACTACCCTAATATTGACTGGCAAAACATAGTTACTTCTACATTATCATGTCACGCAGAGGCGAAAAACTTCCTCGATGTATGTCTCAACTTTAACCTTACACAATTAGTCGCCCAACCAACCCGTGTCACACGAGGATCAGCAAATATTCTCGACCTGATATTAACCAATAGCCCCGAGAACCTATTATCTATTACTTACCTTCCTGAGATCAGCGACCACAAGGTCATACATGCTTTATTTTCATTTACCTCGACCAAAAAACAGACGACTAATAAAACAATTGTTCTTTATGATAAGGGTAACTATAGTGCAATATCTGAAGATCTCAGTAACTCTTTTAATCAGTATGAATCTACATTTCACACGCGCTCAGTTCATGACAACTGGTTGATCTTTAAGGACAAAGTAAATCACCTCTCTGATATGTTTATCCCGAAGATTACTTTTCAAACTAACCGCAATAAACCATGGTTTTCTCGGCATTTAAAAAAACTTGAAAACAAAAGAAACGACTTTTTCGTACCGCCAAACGCAACGGCAAGCCTACTGCATGGCAAAAATACATCGAAGCTGAAAAATCATATTTGCTATCCGTTCGTAAAGCCAAATACTCGTTTTACCATATAGACTTACCTAATCTCTTAATCAGGAACCCCAAGCAATTCTGGCAAGTTCTAAACCCCACACATCCTTCCGATATTAAACTAACGAATGATTCACACGAGACAGTGACTGACCATGATTGCGCAGAAATATTCAACGAAGCATTTGCATCTGTCTTCACTACTGAACTTGACATGCCCTCACAGTCGCCATCATTTAGCGTAGAAACTTTCATGCCTGCTGTCACCTTCTTCGAAGAAGGCATTTCATCTATAATCCACAAATTAAAACTTTCTTCATCAGCTGGTATGGATTCCATCAACTCGAAACTCCTCAAGAATGTGAAATCGACTTGCGCAGCATACTTATGTCTTATCTTCTCACAGTCACTCACCTCAGGAATCATGCCGGATGATTGGAAAACGGGCAAGGTCGTTCCAGTCTACAAATCAGGTAACAGAAACTCACCCTTGAACTACCGCCCCATTTCATTAACCAGCGTGCCTTGTAAGATCATGGAACACGTCATCTACTCACAAATCTTCAATTTTTTGGACTCCAACGAATTTTTTCATCCTTCACAGCACGGATTTCGAAAGGGCCTTTCTTGCGAAACCCAATTAGCACAATTCGTTCATGACCTACAGACTAATCTCGACTGTAATATCCAAACCGACTCAATATTCCTTGATTTTGCAAAAGCTTTCGACAAGGTTCCTCACCAGCGTCTGTTACTGAAACTTTCAAAACTAAACTTGCATCCTAACATTTTCAGGTGGCTTGAGGAGTTTCTAACTAACCGCTCGCAATCTGTCTATCTTAACGGCCACCTGTCTAAACCACTCCCAGTCACCTCAGGCGTCCCACAAGGGTCTGTTCTCGGTCCTCTCCTATTCCTAATATATATTAATGACTTACCATTGCATGTTTCCTGTAACATTCGCATGTTCGCTGACGATTGCGTAATCTATCATACTATTACTAATTGTCATGACCATCACATCCTTCAGAGCAACCTTAACAATATAATAAACTGGTGTAATATTTGGCTAATGACCCTCAACCCCACTAAATGCAAACTCTTGTCCTTCTCTCGTCGTCACAATCCCTCTCGCTTTCAGTATTCTATTTCTAAATCATGTATCGAATTAGTAGAATCGTATAAATATCTAGGAGTCACCCTTTGTTCTAATTTATCATGGCGCGCCCATATTACAAACATCATTTCAGCATCGAACAAAACACTGGGTTTTCTTAAACGCCACCTTCGCCTTTCCCCACCACATGTTAGATTACTCGCGTATAAATCGCTTATAAGACCAAAATTAGAATACGCATCTGCCATCTGGAGCCCCCATCAAGCATACCTAATCACTGCCTTGGAAGGTGTTCAAAATCGGGCCACCCGTTTCATCCATTCCTCATATTCATATGACATCAGCATTTCACCATTGAAACATGAATCTGGCCTATCACTCCTTTCTTATCGTCGCCGCATTGCTAGCCTAACCCTTTATCATAAGTTTTTTTATTCTTCACTCAATCAAGCCCCTTATATAACAGCCGCCTCACGCATTTCCCACCGCACCAGTCATTCACTTCAAGTTGCCCGCCCGCCATCACGCACCACTACGTTTGCTGCTTCGTTTTTCCTCAGAGCAGCTTCAGACTGGAACGGCCTGCCCTACGACATTGTCACAATTGCCTCATCATCTACCTTCCTGGAACGCCTCACCGATCATCTGCCATGTTAATTCAATTTTAACTGTTTGTTTGCAATGTTAATTGAATCTCCGCTGTTTTGAATTGTAATCCCACCCCTTATGTAACACCCCCTGAATGGGGGCCTTTAAGGAAATAAAACTGAACTGAACTGAACTGAACATATGAACGCTTTGACCATCGCTATTACTGGCGCGGCATGTACCATTTTGTACGCAAATTCGTGCAGGGCTGTTCTTACTGCCAGCGACACAAATCAATACAGCCACGTGCAACTGGCGCATTGCAGCCAGTTCCATGCCCTGCCAAGCCATTTGATCGCGTCAGCGTTGACCTCTATGGCTCCCTTCCATTGACACCAGATGGTAATCGATGGATTATAGTGGTGGTTGACCACCTGACACGCCACGCCAAAACAGCCGCTTTGCCGAGCGATACAACTAAGGATGTCGCCTCTTTCATTTTACAACGCTTTGTCCTTCGACATGGTGCACCTCGGAAGCTCCTTAGTGACAGAGGCCGCGCTTTCCTCTTTGAGGTCGTCGAAACTCTGCTTTCGGAATGCCACGTCTCTCATCAGAAAACGACAGCATACCACCCGCAGACTAACAGGCTAATGGAATGGTTTAACCGCACGCTGGGTGATATGCTCTCAATGTACGTGGCATGTGATCATAGCAAGAACTGGGACCGTGTTCTCCCATACGTCACCGTCACATATTACACCGCAATAGAAACCACCACGGGATTCGCACCTTTCTTTCTTCTTTACAAACGCGAGCCTTCCCATACTTCCGTACCGTCCTGATGCTTCCGAGTGTCCACCTATTTCCAATGCTGCTCGACAAGCCGAAGAGTGCCGCCAGCTCGCCCGTACGTTCACCTTGGAAGAGCAGCAACGCCAGAAAGAACACCGTAGCACCGCCCTTTCAGATCCCACCTATGCCCAAGAATCTCTTGTGTGGCTTGCCATCCCATACCAAACTCCGGGACTCTCCTCGAAACTTGTCCCCCGGTAGAAGGGGCCTTACACCGTTTTGGAGAAAACCTCTCCGGTTAATTTCCTAATTGAGCCAGTTTCCCGAATGGATGACATGCGCCGGCGTGCACGTGATATCGTCCATGTTTCCCAACTGAAACTGTACATGAGCCTCTGCCTGAAACTTCTTAAGTCGCCAGGATGGCTCCTTTTTCAGCGGGGGCGATTGTGAAGAAGATATGCCTGCAGCGAGCAGCATCGCCAACGCCCGGTTCTCTCAGCTCGTGCTTCGATTCGCTGCTGTGCCGGTCTCTGCTGGACGGTTCTTCACGCTGTCTTGCCGTTGTCGTTAACAACTAATAAACTTCTTCACACATGCTTTAACAGAAGCCACCGCTGTGGCTGATTTCAAACGTAAGTTTTGCCGCAATGCCACTGCGCTATGCGATAAAGCATAACACAACTCGTATGGGGTGCTGGGCTAAACTGGGTTTGTGGGAGAGGGGGTTCAGCTAGAATTGCTCACTTCCTTCTTTTTTTCCTGGAATGTTGCATTGCATTGGCTTTCGGAAAGGACACCGAACAGTCCGAATTCAATGTCATAACTGATGGTGCACTGCAGCATGCAGGCATTGCTGTGAGCATACAAAACATATAAAAGTTGATGGTGCAGCAGGTTCTCACTGTTACAAACGATGCATTGTTAAAACCGGTATCATTATAAGTGGGCTACACTGTACTTCGTTGCAAGACAAGCCCTTCACAATATGGGCAAAGTTGGAAAATTATTTCTAACCACAGCCTAAAAAACGCAGTCACCACAGGCGCTTAGTGAACCTGCAACTACGTGCTATGCGAACCCGAATTCAATAGCAGCACAATTCACAGCTCTGCCTTTAAAGCTTCCTTTTTTCACTAAACATTTATACTTTCGCAAAACTGGTGCACACTCACTTCGTGGTCTCTCAAATTCATGTCACCTCCCAAGATTACTGTCTTCACGGGGGGTTCTTTCCTGCACTGGCGAAAGCATCGACGAAGTTGCGTTTGTCTGACATCGCTGGAGTAGGCCATGCTCTCGAGGTGAGTGTTCAGCAGGACGAGATCCTTGTTGTTGAAGGTTGCCTGTGTGAGAACGGCAAAAGACAGGCACGATGAAGAGCTAATGAGCAACAACAGTGATCGAGTAAATGTATGACAGAATACAAAGATGTTCAAGTTCTTCAAAGCGAAGGTGATGAAATCGATAGTTGGACAGAAACCACTCTGGTCAGGAACGAACATGAAGACAAAACAGCACATTGACTACTAGTAAAAGGAAATAAAAACACGGCCCCCATACAAAAGCGCCGTTCACAAGTGAAAAAAAAAAAAAAAATCTGAAAAATTTTACTTGAAAACAAGGCTTCCGTATGGGGACCGAAACACCGTGTTTTTATTCACTTTTAATCGTGGTCAGTATGTTGTTTTAAATGTCTTTAAAGCGAAGATTAGACGCTGCACCCACTACATACATGGGAAACTTGTGAAAAGGGTCACGAATACATTATTTACAGAGCTTTTCTCTTTATTTCTGAAGTCCCCAAGACCGGTGCTGTTTGACATGAAAGCAGATGATCTATACTTACTATTATAAGCCCGCCACCATATTCCAAACAAATGCCCTTCCTGGGATTAAAGATAATGCAACAAAGGTTAAGGGGGAGCGGACAGAGGCAAGAAAAGAAAAAAAAGTCACAGCTTTGCCGCAAAGTCAAAGCAATGAATGCGATAGCAACAAATTAGAAGGTCACGTGCAAAATGGCAAGCAGATCAAAACGTGCCGCACGTTTCTCACGCACAAAGGACGCACGAAACGTACTCAGAGGTACAGGTTAGCGTGAATAAGTATCTCTGTTGTTACTTCGCTATGTCCGAAAAGCGCGCTTTTTTCGTAAACGGAGGCTGTGCAACGACTGCAGTGACCTCTGTGCGCCTAGTAACTACTACAGAATCGTTCCCACGAAACCCAAAGGCTAGCCAAGACCTACAATTCTCCCCACTGAAAGATAAGGGTGCCCTATGTGGGCCACTGCCCCATCCAGCTGATAATGCTGAAAACATGATAGTTCCCCCCTGAGATGCCCGCTATCAGCAGTAAGTGATAGATATGAGCACCTTGCCATTTGAAGGTTGAAGAAGGTACCCCTCGGTGGGTCAGTGACTAACGCCTCGCATTCATGAGGTGGAGGTCCCACGTTCGATTCTGCACTCCGGAGTCTTTTTTCTGAAATTTTTTTCTTTCTTGCATTTTTAATATATATAGATACGTATATATGCATATATATACGGTGCAAGACAACGACGCCGACGGCCAAATGCAGCCGTGAGTACCCATATAATTGCTATCTCAATAAAACAGCCTCATAGCTTCATTTAACATGCACTTCAAGTGAAACCTTGGCAACTTGAATGATTCAGAGTTGTGTTACAGTCTCTGAAAGCATGCACATTTTTTTAAAGACACCAAACTCTCGTGAAGCAAATCAAACGATTCTAACGGTTCGAATGATTCGCTGAGCCAGCCGAGCCAAAAGCTCAACAAATACCCTTTGAAGATGAGCCATAGTGAGCGTCCACTCAGAGCAACAGGATGAAGTGTCTATCGCCACAGGCAGCTGCAGGTGTCTGTGTGAACCACACAAGAACGACAGAAATGCGGCAATATTTCGCACATGCTTCACGACCTTTATTGCTGCGCTTAGCATCGCACCTGACACCACATACATCGGCCACTTTCCTTTGAAGCTGCATGGTGAGCATATCAACAGTGGCTTGTTAATATTTATTGTCTGCTGTGAGGCTCACTGGTGCACAGATAGGTTTTATAGACGCAAAGCAAGCTAGAAACAGTGCAATAAACATGGACAGGTACAAGCTCACTGTTTAGTTTCATTCTTCAAATGCTTCTCTTTGTACGTCTTTAGACATGCGCACCTGAAGATAAACAAATGAGCTTTCATAGGAGGTAGTCAACCTTAACCATATGTTATCAAAAACTAAAACTAAACACGTTCTAGTCATGAAAGAATTACAAAAGGCTGATGCGCTGATTTGTGAAATTCTTCTGTGTGTACACAGCCTGTGTGGTACCTGAGGAAACAGATCTCTACTTTCCTTTAAAAATTAAGACGCACCTCTTATCCAACAGATGTCCAGACGTGTAAATGCTTTAATGAAACTAATGATACAGAGAATGCAAGCCTGTTCCACTTCCCATTTATGATGCACAACTCATAGGCAATCATTTACAGAATGCCCAATTCGACGGATGTATATCTTGCCACAGTTTCATAACATTTTAACGCATCACCAACTGAACGTTAATTTAGAACACATTTAGTGCCCTTGCAGACAATCTTCTTACGAATGGCAGTAAAGCACAAACACTCAGAATCTTCCAGAGAGCTAGAGAACACCCCATGTACATGCCACCGCACTGCGTATGTGTGGAATGATAACATAATGATAATGATGAATGAACTTAATTAGGGTATAATAGGTCGTGCTGGTGCCCTAGCCTGAAGCGGGCCGCTCCCACGTTGGGACCAAAAGACCTAGCCTTTCAGCCACTTCACAGGCCAGTTTGACTGCCCATAATTGCCTTTTTTTTTTCTTTTGCTTCCTTCCAAAAAACTGTTCGACTAGCACGAAATTTCTTCAAGAAACTCCCACATTGGGACCAAAAGACCTAGCCTTTCGCCGCTTTGCAGGCCCGTTGGACTGCCCATAATTAGCTTTTTTTTTTTTTTGCTTCCTTCCAAAGAACTGTTCGACTAGCAAGAAATTTTTTCAAGAAAGCTCTGCAAATCAAAGCTAACAAAAAGGGAAGTCCACCAACGCATGCCTGGGAGAAATTGGAGCTTTCGTGAATGACGTGGGAATAACACCCATTTAGTGCCAACTATGATCTTGTACTGGTAATAGTTATTTTAATATTGGTAATAGATCTTGTACTGGTAATAGTTATTGAACCATGTTATTGGTGAAAGTTTAAAGAAAGGCCTACTGTAACAATGTTAGCCTTAGCTTTAGCCACCACGCCCTAACCAAGCTGCACCAATGGGTCTCTGTCTCAAAGATATTTGTCCTTTCGTATTAATCAAAATATCGAATACTGGCTATCCAAAAATCTAATTTATTATCCAGTCAGGTATTATTTGATCTCAATTCAAAACTCGGCTGTTCACACACTCCTAGATAAAATACACGTTCATTCCAACTACATGCTTGCTTTCCAGACATCCTGTTCCATTGGTTAGCTGTTTAAACAAAAATGAGTTAAAATGCATGTTTGTCTTTGCAGGTTACTTCCAGATATGACCATCATAATCTATGCACTTCGAGATGTAATGAGACAACAGCTGTTGCAACAGTGCGGATGTGAATCTGCAATGAAGCCTGCCTAGGGAGCAGTGGGCTGGTTATGCGTGAGTTTCTATTTACAATGATATTCTTATTGGTATCAAGCACATCATCACAGATCAGTGCGAGTCAATGCCCTTGCCTTAGTGCCACTACATTCAACAAAAATATAAACATGGCCATCTCATAAGAAAGTGGGTACGTAACTGTTTATATTTAGTGTCCTTTCGAATCGCAGCTGCAAGTGATTGTGGGTATGAGACCGTCACTCACCTCAGTCCGTACGATGTGTCTTTCCATTTTGGTGGACGAGAACTGTGTGACATCGTGACTGACGTACTTCACCGTATCCCCCTTCAACAGCGTCATAACATAGTAGCCTTGAGATTCGTTCGGTATGCACAGATAGCGTGCGAACCTGAGCCTGATACTAGGCTCTATTTCAGGTATGACCTCTTGCAAGAAAACCACATCTGGATCCAACCTGTAATGCGACAATCAGCCACGATTCTCAGAGATGTGATGGCACCCTTGTTGTCCGTCGGAAGTTATAACTACGAGTGTGCATACAAAGCGACTGAACTCGCAAAAGCCTCTAATGTACTATTCTGCACCACTGAGCTGTCACTGCTTTCAATAAGTTCCCCGATGTACACTGCGCTATGTGACAATGGAGTCAGTACCCAGATGACAGCAGCACATAAAAGTGAGAAAGCTCAACTTTTAAAGGCATTGATGTTTGCAGGCATAAAGCATTCGCCTACATGCCACTAAGAAAGAATGGGCACGGAAAGACCTAAGAAGAACAGCAATGCAAATCACCCTTGCATAACAAAGCCAATGCAAATCACCCTTGCATAACAAAGCCAATGCAAATCACCCTTGCATAACAAAGCCAATGCAAGCAAAAGCATGGTTCAGCAAAATGTGCTAGTCGGCAATATGTTGCATAGCTTTTCGGAAAGATTAGGTGAAAAACAGACACTCACAAAGGGGAGATCTACAGGACAAGCGCTATAACTGGCTATAACCACTGGATCTTGGCTTTGTCAGTGTACGTTTCGCACTTAAATCTTTCTAAAAAGAGAATATGGTCATCGCTGTCACTCTAGCGAGAGACTCGAGGTTCGATTTCTGCCACAATAAAATTGTAGTCCTAGTGCATTTGACTTCATGGGCCATTTTGTGTTGGAAAAAAGAGTTCATGAAGTAACTGAAAATTTCGTTTCTCAAGGATGCATGATTATTCACAAAGACACGATTTCCAAAGTTTGGAGTATGCTTATCGGAAAATGCTCACTTGAAAGCAAGAAGGCTTTCTAAACCACACACCTCTGGCCAGGCGACCCTTTCGGGATGATCCACATTGACCATTACGGACCATTCAAGCGGAGCGAAAGACAAAACCAATGTTAGCTTAGAATTGAGACTCGTGAAGATGAACAACAAATCGACCAAGAACGTCTTCTACGCACTTTAGAGAGCACATATTGAAGCGAACTTTGCCCAAAAAGATTATCATGGATCAAGGCAGCGCCCTCCCAACACGTGTGGTTACAGAGTATTACAGTGCGAGAACTATTCACCCTGTAGTACTACTCAACCCGCAGGCAAACGACACCCTCAAGTAAATCGCTTGGTGGCAAAAGAAATATACCTAACAGTTTTGCCCATTATAGAGGCTTCCACAAGGAATGCAAAATGACACAATTGGGATGAAAGGCAGACAGAGGTCACGTGCAACGCAAGGAAGGTAGATTAAAATGCCAGTGGCAGCTAATGGCAGCATTACATAGTTAAAGTAGACGCGAGCAAATCTTCATTCTCAACATTTAAAAAAATCAAGTCTAACGCACATCTTTCTACCAATAAACAGAGTCTGAAAAATGCCAGCGCGTGAAAAAAAAACCGAAACCGTGCTGCCAACAGCCTCTCGTCAGGAGAGTCAGACACAATGTCATGACTCATCACTATCACATAATGGCAACAAATCACGAGTTTGCGTAGAATGCCTTCGTGTGCTACTGAACTGTGGGCAATGCAATAACTTGCATTGTGAAGTGCAACTAGTGATGTCCTGCTCTTATTATGTATGTTAACTATAGTGAAATTAATGTTGTGACAGTGCAAACAGCTGCCTTACGCCCTTATGCGTGCGCAAGCTTTTGACTGCAAGTGCAACAAAGGTGGGAAATCAGCTGTATGTCCACCAGGAAGTTTTCATGGTCGGGAAACTTGAAAATACCAGCTTCTCGGCCAGCTGAAGCTACTTTGTGTGGACATAGCTTGACTAGGTAACAACCCCGGATATGTACGCACGCAATCGAAGCATATGTAGAAGCACATGAACATCCAAGAGAATAAACTTTCCATTCGAAGAAGACATCCTGTCTCACACACTGCTTTCCCAATCGTCAGCTTAGTTCATATTTTGCACTCGTGAATATTTCGGCGACGTTTGATTCGAGTAAAGGTGTTTTTTTTTTTCTTTCGAACGAAATCTGAATGGCATCGTAAGATGCGGAGTCAGCAAAACAGTGCGTCCCATAACCAAGGTTTTTAATACCTTATTTCTATGGGGATTTTGCCGGGATCAAACTGTTTCGTCGTAAAGTGCAGGTCGTTGCGAAACCCAGGGACGTATATTCCAAGTTCCACTTTATTGTGCACAGTGCATCAGACAAGATCAGCCTGCCACCCTCAAACAAACTGCTTAATGGAGCAATTCCATCAAACACTGACCGACATGATATCAATCTACATCGAGCCAAGCCACAATAACTGGGACACAACATTACCAAATGTGACAGTGCACAGCTGTGCAATGAACCACAGAATATTCACCTTTCTATTTCATCTATAGTCACGCGCTGACATTCTCCATCGACACCTCTTTGTTCAATTCGACAATGAAAACCCCTGCAACTATGCCAGAACATTTCATCTCCCATCTCAATAAATGTTGGCAATGCGCTCGCCTCAACACTGAGCGTTGTCAACAAGCCGCAAGCAGCATTATGACAGCTTTCATCGTGACGTCACTTTCAGTCCTAGAGATGAAGTATCCTATTTTGGACACCTGTTGGTACTGCCAGATATTGTGAAAACTTTTTCATCGCGCTTCCTGACACCTTACATTGTTTGTGAACAGACACACCCCCAGTCAACTATCGCGACGGTCACTCCAGTCGGGGTTTCTTCCCATCGTCGTGTCCACGCCTCTGACGGAGTTCGACCACGTTTTAAACTGCTCATTTTTCGTACCCTTCCCGTCGAAGTCTCTGCCGGGCTGGTCACTTATAAATATGGGAAAAATTAGTGTGAGGACTTATTTACGCGCTTCATCTTCCCATCTTTACATACTCATCAGAGAAGAATGGCTATTTGGGCTAGTTGGTTGAATCGCATGTTAATTGAACTTGCAGCACTCACACGAAAGTGCTGAAAGAAAAGCGTTAAGTAAGGCGAAAAACAAAAAGCGAAGAGGCTTCCTTGCCTTCCGCTCCTCGCCTTCCATTACACTTTTCTTTAGGCACTTACGTGCTTGCACTGCAACCCCTATTAACATATTCATCACCTTTTGTTTGGGCTGTGGACCTCATAACCAAAACAATAAAAACGAGTCCTGAATGTCCTAAACGTTGCCTCATAATACATAGTTCTTGGCTTATAATGTCATCATTTCGACCAATGGTGACAATCTGAATGCAACTGGGAATCAAACGTGCAGCTAAAAAGTTAGAACCACAGCCTCGCATTGAAACCTTAACGGTACATGCTACTCAAAAAAAAATTTTTTTTTATAATATTCACTTTGGAGTAATGAAACTTGAACTGTTTATAAAACTTTTTAGGCTAATTTCAAATATACAATTAGCTTGTTTGCAAGTATACTTTTAATTCAGCAGCATGACAAAGTGAAAACCTCGAGCCTGTTGCCCCCCCCTATTTCTATCCCAAAACTTCCATATTTTTTTTTACAATTTATAGTTCATATTATTTCAAATAAACTGCAGAATGCAGAAAACTAATTGGAAAGTGCATAGAAAATATGCAATAGTCATTAAATATAATAGACATGAAAAAGTCCACATTTCTCCCATCCTAGTAAGGGTTTACCCTAACTTTTTATTATATAATACAATTATTAAATTTTAAAAAGATATTTTCATTTCTCACACTTTGAAAAAACATTGTACAAAATGTCATGCAGATCTGAGCACCGCTAGTAGCCCAAAAAAGGAGGGGCACTTGGAAAAAATGGCAAAATCTGTGTTCTGAGAAAAATCACTATTGGAGTTAAAATTGAACGTTTATTTATGAAAGATGTCATTAAATGCGATGAAATTTGCACACAAAAAAGAACAACTCTTCTTGTAGTGGCCACTGCCACTAAAATGCGCCAGCACCATAAGTTTGTCCCTCACGGCTCTTTCGAGCTGACTCCTCACAGGCAGGGCCATGAAACGCCTGCCAAACTTCTTCCGCTCCATCTGGCAAAGCCTTGTGCTGGCAGCAAGCTAGAGAGAAGTTCAGCAGAACTTCAAAATCTAAACATAGTACACTGTTGAGGAATACAACAGTGCCGATGCCATTGTGGCTCTTGTGGCCATGTTTGTGCCACGTACCGTCATACATAACGGTAATGTCGTCCCTGCTAACTTTTCTAACTGTGGGCTTCCTCGATCTCGCAAAATTGGCACAGATGGCCTCCATTGCCACATCACGGACTTTTCAGCTGATGGCTGTGAATGAGTTATGATGCATTGGCTTTTGCAATCCAAGAATTGCCGCAAATCGGGCCTGCTGCTCGTAGCCCATTCCCACAGAGCATGTCACCACAACAGTTTTCCTATTTACAGCTTAGCTACCGCGCAAACTACGGCTTTCTTCATCCATAATGAATATAAACACAGAAGAAAAGCATTCTACAGCTGCACTGTTCGACGAGACACGGACTCTGCAAGTAGCTTTCACAGCACATACTGGAGCACAGCGGCGATCGATGGTCCCCGATCCACACAACATGATTTAAAATCCAGCCGCGGTGCTCGAAAAACCTGGCAAAAGTGTGCTTCTTTTTTAGACAGATTTATCAGCGCAAAATGATGGAACATTTAGAAAAGACACACACACACAGCGCTGTGTTTCTAAAAGTTCCTTCTTTTTGCACTGATATATCTGTCTAAATAATCACGAACCAACTCGCCCATGCAGCAGTTTTAGAAAAGTGTGCTTCTTTTTATTATTTTTTTTGTGCTGCAGCAGTGTGGGAGATCGTCATTGTTTGAAAATTGAGGCTCGGATCTTCGTCTCATGCGAATGACAATGCCGAGCGGCGGCGCATTATCAGCGGCAAGGTGCTCGAAGACTGCACCCTTTTAGCCTTTTAACAGCCTCCTCGTGCTCTTCAGATGCAATTTTAAAACATTTCCAGTTGAGTCTCAACATCAGGACAGTAGAAGTACTAATTTCTTCAAACAGGTGAAAATTTTCAAGTAAATCAATTGGTAATTTCAATTGGTAATTTTCAAGTAAATTTGCATTTTTTTACCAGCATAGCCCTTTACCAGCCCCTATACAGCAGAAAGTGAGTGTTCAAGAGAGCCACTTTGTTCACAGGGACGAGCACTATATGTTGACAAATGCATCATAGACCAAGTCCAAATATAACATTCATGTTATCAATGTCAGCTGAAGAAAAAATAACGAAAAGGAATAAAACATGCTCCTAACACAATCATAACTGGTTAACAATTGCACTATGCTTTTAAAGATATACTTGTCAACTAACAATACCACCTATTCTGCAGCAACATACAAAATGCAGTGGCATGTTACCATGTCAAACAAATGAAACGGCAAAAGGTTACCTCAATATTTCATTGCAAACAGCCATAATTCGCTGATGCAGGTATTTCTGGTTCAGTCCATCAACATTCCAGCTAACCAGGGTCATTACATCACGCCTTCCGGGAGATGTTTGAGCTGCCGGTATATCTGGAGAAACCGACGAGGGCATACTCACTCGTCTCCTGTAATACGCAAGAAAACAAGCAGTTTTCATGATCAATTTCCGCCTACAAGAGCTATCCGAACCATAGCAAGTTGTGCATGCTGCACTGTGCCACAGACAAATGTACAATTCAGCAACACAAAGATTTGTGCATAAAGTTATCCAGCCAGTTTATTTTCTTTTTTATAAGTTAATCGTCAGTAATGTGCATCTGAGCTTCTGTACAGCATCATGTTCTGTGAATGACTTGTGTTATACAAACAAACCCCTTTATAGGAGGCACTCATGTCACAGACATATGGGTATAAGAGACACTAGTGAAATAAATGTCATTCAGAAAACGCCATCCATGCTGTTCCTCATATAAAATACAAGAATTTCTTCTATTGCTTGTCCCTTACAAAGGGTTTCTTGAACTGTACGTGTTGGCTGCAACAACAGTTTCTGCATGGCATTGTGTGCAAGAAAGATTAACTGCCGTACCCATTGCCGGGTACCAGTTCCGTGACTGACTGTCCACACAGCTGTCCACGACGGGCAGCGTATGAAAATGAAATTCTTTTTGCAGATTCACGAGACTGCGACACAGATATGTAATCTCCTTCACAGTGCTTACGCCAATGAGGTATTGTAGCAGGCATGATTGTTACGAGAGTGTTAATAACCTTTTCCCTCCCACTGACAAGTATAGTCATCCTGAGATTTCATACCGAATGACAATGGCACCTATACTTTTCTCAATCGTTTCTATTAACACTGGAGGGCCACATTATTCTATGTTCATCCTCATCATTTATTTTTCTTTTGAAGTGCCTTTTAACGTATTACTTGGGGTGGGGGGGGGTTAAATAGGGAGTGACAAATGAAGGCCATAGGTGCCTTGGCTTTTATCGTATTACCACCTTTAATTGTATCACCATGCAGCAAAGCCATCTTTGAGCTATCTTTCACATGCAGTTAGAGAAATAAATGATAGGATGGTGCATTTTCAGAAAAAAAGTCTACAAATAGAGTAAAAAAAAATGTCCAGTAATTTTATACACTTTTCCAAGTATAATCCAATGACCTAGCTATCCAAGATTATTATGGCCTCATGAATCAAATGCCGCAAGACATTTTTGAATCCGTCCATACGAGCACAGTTAGAGTTATTTGCTGCCCACTTAAAACAACTTTTTTCCTCTTTTTGTCGCAATGCGCACACTGAAAGGTACACAGGTGGCAATGACCACCTCAGCACGCTTTTCAGTGCGACTATGAGCACCCTACTGTAGTTACAGAGTAATTGCTGCACACTACAGAGCACTGCTCTGCCACATGGTGGCACCCTGCATTAAGTGTTAACTATGCAGCATAAAAACGCTCAAACCAGTAGTGTCCTTCTTCTCCTATGACATAGTCTGGCCCTTCTATGGCATAATTTGCTGATAGAAGAGGACGAAATTTCTTGCTGCCTTTGGAACATGACCGTAAATTCCCGACTACGTGCAGTTCGCAATATTTAGTTCACGTGTTAAAGGTGTTCCAAAGCCGATCAGCAGCGTTGTCTGAGCGTGTCCTAAAGGTGTTGCAGAGTCACTCTAACCCTTGGCCTACAGTATTTTTTTGCGAGAAACGATAAAAAAAAATGCTTCTTTTCATTCACTTTTTAGATTCTACACATCTTAAAACAACTAAAAAACTATTTAACCCTTCGCAGTCTGCAGTTAACCCCTGCCTATGAATGCGACACTGCCACAGCAGTTCATGGCGGGGCACTGCTGGATAAGTTCTTTCGTTTGGTTCAAATGCAAGTTTTCTCACTACACGATTCTCCATAGGTAAAAAAGCATGTGGCTCATTTTACTTGAGCTCTGAGTCTTTTACATTCACACAAGAATGGACAAAAGGCGAGAAAAGATTTCGGAGTGCGAATGGTTAAAGGAGCCTTATTCACATTGCTTGTGCACGGCACCATGAAAAGCACACTAACCTTGCCTGTCTTTGCTTCAGAAAATGTCTTTTTAAAATTATAAAATAATGTGTAAGTATGATTGGGCCTTTGAAAGAAAACTGGGACCCCCTCAATGGCAAGCCTTATTTTCATCCGTTTTCTTTTTTTTTTCGCATCTACATTACAATTATTACTAATAACATTCCTTATACTTTCCTTGGCATCAATGTCAATTGGGTCCCATAATTACTGTGCCTAACAAAAATAAAACGAGCTCTTAAAGGGCCTCTAAGCCACGCAGAGGTCAAAATTCAGTTGTGGTGGGAATAGTGCAAGAGTGTGCAACGACCACGAAGCCATGAGAATTTTTCAAAACGGTGCCGTAATAGCAGAGTCTGACGCGTTTGATAAGCGAAACGCAATGATTATGCTGAGAAACAAGAGACGAGACGGCGGCAATGAGGCAGTGCCGTGGTCGCAGCTTTTATTCGGGACGCGAGCATAGACGAGGTCCCAGCTGCAGCGTCCCGCCAGGCCAGGAGCTCAGCCGTTCTGAATTCCTCAAGGCTCTCGCATCACAAACCACGCGGCACTCTTCTTCTTAGCGCGGAAGCTGGCCAAGACTGGCACGACGCTACAATCACTTCTTTGCTCTTTCCTTTGCTACCATCCGTCGGTAACCTCTCTCAAAGCACTTTGCCCTCTCGCCGACCAACCCCCTACATCTCTCGTGGCTTACATCATTGCCCAGAGGCCCGAAAAGCCAGGAGAAGACGAGGAATTGTTTCTTGAAATTTGTGGCACGCCAGTGGCTGGTAGTGCTGTTGCGTGCAGAATCGTTGATCGCGACACCATTCCGCGCACGATGCGCATGTTTACTTGAAATGTTTGAAAAAATATCAAAGGTGGTTTGGGGACGTTTCAAATTTCCACTTCTTTCCTTCATACAGTGCAGCGGCAATATATGTTGGAACTGTGATATACTACACATTTTGTTCATAATGAATTGGGAGTTTTGTAATGCTACACAGTTTATTATAAGGGTAAAGCACGAAAACAAGACCCACAAGCAGAATACTCTTGCCAGAAATAAATTGCAACATTGAGCAAATATATTTACATGCCTCCTATTTGTGTCCAGGTTCCATGGTTCGCGTTTGCTTGACAGAAACAACTTGAATACATGCAGAAACTTTTACAAAAGTGCCTCAGAAATTTCAAAGAACCCAACCACCATAAATAATTTCTTTTTAGTTTTTTTTTTATGTGTGGGTAAGCATTTGCAAGAACACATGTCTGAAGTATTGTCCTTACGTTGACTGCCTTGAAAGGAAGACAAGAAATTCACTAATGGAAGCAAAGACTATTCCCAACAAATTCTCAACTAAAACTCTTAATTTTAAAGCACCATGTTCACACTTTGTGTATGAGCATATTATACATGCGCCACCATGTTATCAGACGTAAAGAAAGAAGTGTTAAATATGGTTTGACTTTCTTCATTTCTAAAATATTTCTGTGCTACATCAAAAGTGAAAATGTGGCACTCATATCTGCGTCCATTATAGCAATGCAAGATTTTCACGTTAAGGTGCTTTCACGTACATATCCTGATAAGAAATATGTAAAATGCAACATACTGATTTATCTTTCAAACTTATTCAATTTCTCATACATTCCTGCTGCCTACACGGTACCCAAGCACTGGAATAATATTAACCGAAACTTCAGGTACCACACAACACTTTGGGCAGAAACAGTGCGCTTCATGCTGCAAACAAGGTGGCCATAAGCAATGTTGTCTTGGAACTTGCCCCGTAATTTTCTCTTTCAGTGCAGTTACTTACATGCAATAGTATTGTGTAATTAGATAACATATCATATTTCTGTTGTTGTTCCCATAAAGTATGTATTTTTCAGGTCACCTACAGTCATTTTTTTGCCTACTAGCTCAAATATACCTAATAAATTTTTGTATTTCATTGCTCCTTGATCAATGGCACTGTATCTTTTCATTGTATCTGCATGTACCCCATATACTTTGTTCTTAGGTACTCCATTGTATGATGCTTGTTGGTTGATGTGATTATTTACTATTAATTTGATCAAATAATCTTGAATTTTTGCATATTTGAAATATCACCATTTTTTTTTTCCCCTGCTGTGCTAGAATATCCCAATAGGTATTCTTTTTTCGGACCTTTAACTAGCCTTTGGCTATAGGTTCGACAAGTGTTTCTTATCTGTTAATAGATTATGAAATAAACATTTATTCAAACAAAAAAAATCTGCAGCAGGGCTCGATAGCGGGTCCTTCGGAGTCCCGTTGGCATACTCAAAGGAAATACGAATTAATGTCTGCCTGTCATAATACAGTAGTTTGTATGCGCCACTAGGCATAGTTTCTTATTTCCTGATTATATTGTAGACTGTAAATTTGAGACACCTGTTATGTGTATCTCAAAAATTTTTGGGTAACCATTAACAGTGACATGATATAATCTGCAAAATCAAATGAATATACCAAACAATTTCACTCTAACTTTATCAGATTTCACACATCCAAACTCTGTTAGAGTGCTGTGAAACAGTTCCCAACTCTTTGCATTTCATAGTGCGTTTTACAGTAAACAGACCAATCAGACACATCTATAGATTGATTTGTTGGGTTAACATCCCAAAACCACCATATGATTATTAGAGACGCCGTAGTTGAGGGCTCCGGAAATTTCGACCACCTGGTGTTCTTTAACGTGCACCCAAATCTGAGTACACGGGCATACAACATTTCCGCCTCTATCGGAAATGCAGCCGCCACAGCCGGGATTTGATCCCGCGACCTGCGGGTCAGCAGCCGAGTACCTTAATCAGACACATCAAAAGGCGCACGAACTCGACTCACATGGACGTCACAATGCCTGACAGCTGTGCATTCCCTGGTTCTTCATCCTGTAAGGAATAGACAGGTTGTTTTCATACACGAAGAAAAATTGAAATGCCATGATATGGGTGAACCAATCTGCCACTACAGACACAGAGAAATAGTTCAATCTGCTACCACTCTGAATTCCCATAGCGCTATAGAGAGTCCATGAAGTGCACTTTCATTATGTTAATGAAATACTTGAAGTCCCCATAGACAGTTTCTTTTTCTACTGTAGCAGCCTTGTACGCTTTGGATCTTTCAGTTTATAGCAGGAAGCCGTCTAGGTTTAATGTTGTTGGGCGGCAGTGTCGTCATCATCATGCTCAGCTGATTTTAGTCGTCTGCAAAACGAAGGCATCTCCCACCAATCTCGTGTTTACCCTAAACTGCGCAGGCTGCTTCTATTTCATTCTAGAAAACTTTTTAATTTCTTCACTGCATGCGACTCTGTCTTCCTCTACTGTTTTTCATTCCTGAGAATGTTACGAGTGTGCTGCGGCCCATGACTTTAAAGGCTCCCACAGGCTATACCCGCAGCGGAACTGCCTGAAAAGTGTCGCACAACCCGCCTGCAGACACTCCACGCGTCCTTGGCAGACAACAAAGGCGTCCAGAAGAGACGCTGCATCCGCGAGAGACGCTGAGCCCGTGCAACAGCTGGTGCCTCCTCCTCCTTCAGTGCCTCGGCACCTATAGAAGGCCGGCGTATCTAGCGTCAGGCGGCTTCATTGTCCACGTTCTGTATATATTTTGTAAATGTAAACGCCTTGTTTCCTTCTGGCTGCCTTTTGCCTTACCATTGCCTGGATGCTCGCTGCCCAACATTGGCTTGTGGTCATAGATTTCAATTCACTATGCAAGCCTGATTTCTTATTGCTTTGCGTGGAATCAGGAGTGGACGTGGGGAATGCCGTACGGAAGCCGCATATCATTCAGATATTACTTGCCCTAGGGAGTAGATGATAGCAAGCTTCTAGAATCTAGGAAAATTGTTAAGGAGCACCATGCAAAAGAGATAAGGAGCAGGGCTGAAGAAAAAGAGCACAAGGCAAATGAATAAAATAGGCGTGCCGATAACGAAAAGCGGCAGGCCACTGAAATAAAAAGAGTATTGATTCAGCCGAATTAAAGCGACTTGAGCTTCAGACTGTGCTGGCGGAACGTGCAAGTGTTCAGTGTGCAGAGAGAGCAGGGACTCGTGATGAAGCGGCTGCTGGAAACACTGAACACGCAGCAGAGGCGGCTTATGAGTTAGTCGTCCGATGCCACTCGGAGAAATCACGCGTTTGCCTCTTTGGTGGACTGCCACACAGCAACTGACTTGAGCGAAAGCCAGAATGTGAACTTTGCAACTACACAGAAGAGGTACAGTTACCCCAGGATAGCTCAATTGACAGAGCGCAAGAAGTTGTCTTGAAGAGGGATGGTGAGTGCCGTAATTGGATTGGATTGGATAAACTTTTATTTGGTCCTCCAAAACACAGATCACTGTGTTGCGGGCAGCTCCCACGTGGGGACTGAGATGCCAAGCTCCTCAGCCGCCTCGCGGGCTTGGTGGACAGCCCAGAGCTGATCTGCCAAGGATGAGCTGCGGATTGCCGCCTCCCATCTGGCAGAGGTGATGTGCGATAAATGAGCGAATTTGGTGCACTGCCAGAGCATGTGTTCTAATGAAGCTATTTCCCCACAATGTGGACAAAGATTACTTGGATATAGGTCAGGGTACATGATGTGTAACATTTTCAATGTAGGGTACATCCGCGTTTGCAAAAGCCTTAATGTAAGTGCTTGGGGCCGGGTTAGATTTTTGTGAGGTGGAGGAAAAATCCTTCTAGACAGGTAGAAATGTTTAGTGAGCTCGTTATGTGTTGTAAGAATTTCCCGGTTATCTCCTTCACCGCTAGAACGCATCCCCGGGGAGGAGCGGTTGGAGAGTTCTCGCGCCGCCTCGTGTGCTGCTTCGTTGAGATTGGGAGGGGAATCGTTGATTTGTCCAAGGTGAGCTGAGAACCAACTCAGAAGATGATGTGTTATGTTCTTGCCTTGCAGTATTTTTAGCGTTTGTTCACAGACCGTCCCCTTGGCGAACGCCCGTAGTGCTGCCATGGAATCACTGTAGACCACTTCAATGTTATCCATCTTGAGTGCTAAGGCGATGGCCACTTGTTCCGCAATGATTGGGTCTTTCGTCCTGACCGTCGCTGAGTTGACGACATGGCCAGCCCCATCGACTACCACTGCCACAAACGCTTTCCCATTGGCGTAGGAAGCCGCGTCAACAAATACGACCCCTCGTTCCTCGTTTGAGACTTGACGAAGTATAGTCCTGGCCCTCGCTACTCTTCTTCCGACGTTGTGTTCTGGATGCATGTTTCTCGGTATAGGAGATACCGTGATAGTCTCCCTGATTTTGTGAGTGCCGTAAAGAGGGCTTGGAAAAGGTGCCCGTGATCGCAGAGGGTACTTCCTCGAAGAAATTTTGGCTGTTAGATTTTGAGGTGGAAGAAGGTGTTTGCGGTGAGGTAGGTGTCTTGTGGAAGCTCTGGTATTCATGCGACCTGAAACAGATCTCTTGGTCTGAACACCTCAGCTGCACACTGGATAGAGGTCTCGAGAAACATCCGGGTCTCCTCCTGCGGAATTTCAGGCATGAGTCTAAAGGAGTTCATTTGGAAGGGTCTTTTTGCTTTGGGTCCGTTGAGCGTATAACTGGTTTCCCCGCATGATTTGGCTCTCTATCACTTGAGCGGGCAGTGGATTCTCACCAGCCATCTCACCAGCCAGCTCTATTGGTTGATTTAGCATAAGCTCAGTAGGTCTTAGGAGCAATTGTATGGCGCTTGTGGGCATCACTGCGATGGCACTTCTGCAGATGGCGAGCCCAGAGGCCATAGCCGAGTCCAGGAGAACAGATGAGCCGGGACCAACGCTACGCGCCAACAGCTGTTCCGGGGCGTCTCTGGGAACGGACACTGCGGATTCCCACAGTGACCCTCTGTACAGTGGCTGCGAACCCTTGTCCTCCGGGTCAACATTAACCCCGGTGGAGACGCTGTTACGAGCGTGCTGCGACGCATGACTTTAAAGGCTCCAACAGGCTATATCCGGAGTAGGACTGCCCGAAAAGTTCCACACAATCCACCTACAGACACTCGACGCGTCCTTCACGGACAACGGAGGCGTCGGTCAGAGACACTGCGCGCGTCCAACAGCGGGGCTGTCCCCTCCTACTTCAGCGTCTCGGCGCTTATAAGAGGCCGGCGCATGTAGCGTCGGGCGAATTCATCGTGCACCTTCTGTACGTACATTGTAAATATGCAAGTCTTGTTTCCTTCGGCCTGCCTTTTGCCTTGCCACTGCTTGGATGCTCCCTGCCCAGCGTCGGCACTCGCGACACGCTACCCAAGAGACCATGGGGTCTCCTCGTAACAACCATTCTGTTGCCATTACTATCCACCGGTTCTCTGTTATATGTAATACGCGGCCAGCCCAGGTCCAGTTCTTTCGCCTGATGTTTAATAGGATATCTGCAACCCTTTCTGCCATCCACTGGTGTTTCAATTCAGCTGCAGAAATGGTTGTCGTAAGAAAGCAGCACAGCCATCACGCCTGTTTCTAAACAAACATAACGGCTCTCTCCATTGGCAAGGGTTCCCACACACAATACGACGCAGCGGCACCTTGCTACGAGTCTGCAAGAAAGGCGCGCTTCCATCTTGTCACATCCGCAATGAGCAGCACTTCATTGATTTTTGTTTTTAAAGGAAAGAATCGAAGCCTTCAAACTTACTGAGTCCACAATCTCCAGGATAGAGACATCATCCGCTACTGCAGAGGAGTCGGCGATAAGCATTGAAGATCCATCAACAACGGAGCATTCGGAGTCGCTATCGTGCACTTCGTACACAACGATGTCATCGGCTTCTTGCTCAGGCTTTCGTCGCATAACCTCTATGATGTCTTTATCTTCGTCGGCCTCCATCGCAGCACTACACTGGCTTTACAAGTTTTTTCCACGGCAGACACAAACAAGTTCAGCGATACTGTTACAACTGGTTACAACTAGTGCCTTCAACGGCCGCGAAAGGCACGCGAAGAAAAGAAGTGCGAAAGTATTGACTTGGCCTGGATCTTGGCTTGCCGACTCTGCGAAAGCTGCTACTACGCAGCAAAACTGCTAAATTCAAGCTAAAAAATATCCAGGTTTTATTTCAGTTTTTTTTTATTCTTAACTGACCGTTCGTTTATTTTCGTTTGCCTAATAACTGACAAAAAAAACCGCACATGCAGACAGTTTATGAGGTCACAGCCTCTGAGATAGCAAGGCTATGGTGGCTAGAATTGGGAGGTGACGCCAACGGGAGCTCGGAGCCGCTCCTTCGTTTCGAGCAGCGCGGCGGTGGCGCTGTCGGCGGAATGGTGATGCTAGTTACGCGCGCGCGCCTTGAGCGCGCGGACCTTTCAAAGATGCTGTTGCTGAAGCATGATTCAGATAAATTGGCGATTCAGATAACTCACTGTGACGATGGCTGATAGAACGCCATTTCAAGCATTAAAAGAAATTGGCTGCCGCTGCAAGACTTCTGTGACGTTGAATCTGCGCAAATTAAAGCTTTCGTTCGCATATCCCTGCAGTGTTTTGGAGTGCAAGGCGACGGCGTTTTTTTAAAAAAAAGTATTACCAAAGTTCTGGGCGAGGAAAATAAAACAAATATTTATTGCACATCATATTATTAGGAAGATCTATTGCACATCATGGAATACAGGGTAAAATAAAATAAAATGAAAAAATACGCACATTTACATACGCTCGGGAGTAGTTAAAAACATTGAAACATTGCACACAGACAGCGCATCGCTTGGCACTAAGTAATAAGAGGCATACAATCACTTTCCACTCGGCAAAAAAAAATCAATAGAGCTTAAAGTTACAATATCAAACTCAGAGCACGCGTCTAAGCTTCAGCAATTTCATTCTTTCCTGCTTAGCGTTTCGTTTGCTGTTCTGGGCTTTCACATGAAAGTGGAGCCTAGTAAGAACATAAAACTTGATAATTTTGTTTGTGAGGGACATACTGTGGTCAGGGCAGCCAACAAGTGTAAGCTTTCTTAACTGCAAGAAGGAAACCAAGTCCATGATGCTGTCAGGTTTGACTTCTGTAACACTGAAGCAGTGGGTAAAAGTGTTCTCGAGAGTGGTCACGAGTTCATTGAGCTTGACTGATGGGTACAGCAGGCCTCCTCGGTCAACAGCAGCCGTGAGGGATGCTGCAGCTGGAGATGGATCGTTCTCGCCTTGTAGGAGCTGCTGGCTGCACTCTGCACATTTGGTGCTTGCAACGCTTTTTCTTGCCACATATCCAGCCATGTAGAATATGAGTCTGGCATCGCTGCTTTGCACGACCATGTCTGCATGCTCGGTGCCGTGGCCGTATTCATTGAGCACTTCATGTGCTTCGGCAAGGTTTCCTACGTCAAGAAGCTCGTCTAATTTCCTCCGAGGAGTGAGGTCCTTTCCGTTGTCAGCTCCCAGCAGACTTCTCAGCAGTCCTGAGGACACATTGCTTCCTTTCGGTGGTTTTGCCAAATTCTGGAAGCTCAAAGTGTTGACCGAGATTAGGAACTGGGAGGCAGTCGGATGATCATTGCATCCAGACATTTGTCGGACGATTCCAAACAGCCTCTCCAGGGGGTCCTGACTCAAGCGGCATGTCATCATATAGCTGAAGTTCAACTTCATCGTCAGGTAGCGGAGAAGGTGTAGCGTGCTTGATAAGGTAACACGAAGCCCCTCGGCTGTACTGCGGCTTAGGAAACCTCCGGAGCCAGCAGCTGTTTCCCAATCGTCCAGGTAAGTCAAGAAGTTTTGAATGCACTTCTCGTGCATCCCTCCAGGCTTAAGTGCACCCGAACTGCACCTTGAAGTCATGGCCTCAATGAGCCTTCTCATTCTTTCCACAAAGCTGACTGTCGCCGCTGTGCTCCCATGCTTTTCTTCGATGGTTGCATTGTACAAGAAAAGCCTCTGAGGACTTCATCACTGTAAAGCCGCACTGCATAATTTACCCTCATTTTCTCAAAGCCATTGGGATGCACAACCGATTTGCTAATATGAGGCATGGCTTTGAGAGTCGTGTCATGCTGTTCATCAAGCTTCCGGGCACAGTCAATAGGGTCAACACTGGCATGGCCTTCTGGCAGTTTCACGCCCGTTCGAACAAAGGTGTTCCTCACACATTTAAGAAGGTGTGGGAAGTCCGAGATGAAGTGCAGAAAACGTTCTGGGTCTGTAGGGTGCTGCCTTCTACATACTGTGTTTTCTTTCCTGCCGTGTATGCCGAATGAGTGCCACATGCTTCTGTTCCACGCAGCTCCATCAGTGGTGATAAAGTCTACGTGCAGACCGGCGTTTTCGCTCATGACTACTGCTTCGAGGATTATTTTGCCTAACGTCTCGGACTTCACATTGCTGCGTGATGCGAACACACCAATAATCTGGTGCCACGTGCCTGTAAAAGGCACGAACAATACTACAAGGCCATGGTCACATGCTACGGAGCGCTCACTCTCTGGTGTGAACTTCCCAAGGTCCACAAAACCTTCGATGGTGCCATCGGTTCCCAAGCTCAAGTGTTCAGATAGCTTAATCTCATCAATTAACAGCCCACCATGGCGCTGGAACAAGTCCATAGATTTTGTTTTTTCCGCCACAGCAGCAAACACTTTTTCGCTCAGGCCGAATCCACTCCTGTAACGCTTGAGATATCGACGTAGTGATGTTCGAGAAGGCAACGCCATGATGTTGTTTTTGCGTATATGCTCATAGAGGCGTGGGCTTTTCATGGACATAATAAGGCACTCTAGAGCCCATTCACTTTCATACTTCATCCCTTTCGTGGATTTTCTTTTAGCCGCAGCAAAGCACGCCTTGACTTGTTGCTGCTGCTTAATGGGTAGGGCCTTCACCGCTTCTTCAAATGCTGTAGAATCATTCCGTGCATTCTTTTCTTTCATTTGTTTGATGAGTGATTTAGCCTGCAGGACACTCAGGCGACTCCTTTTCGCTTGCGCTGTTCGCAGCTTAAGCCTGTATGAAAGCTTTTGGGACTGGGCCACATTTTTGCCTTTTCTTCGCCTGTAGGACTCACGATTCAGGAGTAGTCTTCTGAGGTGCTTGCATTGTGGGCAGGCTTTTTCTGGCGTTGGAGCAACCCCACGGCAAGATGGGCTGAAGGTTCTGCCATCAAAAGTCTTCTCCTTGTACTTTAAATTCACTCCAAATTCACCAGTTTTACCAAACCCTCTGCATGGTATCATGGAGTCGACGTCGCGAAGCAACTCTTCTGCCATTTCGATGTCGGTAATGTCAAGGGTCTTTATTTTTGTGGCTTGCACAAAAGCTGTCGCTTGAAGTTTGTTTTCATCTGATGTCATTAGCACATACTTGTCAATAGTCAACTTGTCACCATCTAGTGCGCAAACTGTAAACACCGTGGCGTTGTCGGCTCCAGCAATTAGATGTCGAGCCCAGTAAGCGCTGGGAAGACCACACTTGCGGACGTCGGGAATTGCGGGCACATTCGGAACAGGTATTTGGTTACTGTCGCTTTCTGTGCTGTACGAGCCAGCTGTCTCCTCGCAAGCAGACGTGCTTGGTTCCTGACGCCGAATTTTCGATGGTAGGCCGCAAGTGGATGTTCTTGACGTCCTTTTCTTCGGCACTTTCTTTGAAAGATACGCAGGAACATTTAAGAATATGGTTGGCACCGCGTCAGATTTCAGCACCGGTTTCCCTCGGGGAATCTGAACAGTTTCGCCGTTTATCACATGCGTGTAAAAACGCTCAATAAACTGCTCGTCGAAATGAAGCTCACATAGCGCCGACTTCACGTCCAACGACTTGTCGGCACGGGGTACGGCTCGTTGCCAGGCTTCGAAGAGGGCAGGGTCTTTGGGAACAGAGAAAAGAGAAGCACGCTGACCTTGCTCCCTCGATGACACATAGCCGCTCGTGCAGCCAGGAGCAAAGCAGTGGCGTTGCCTCGCTTTCGTAGTGCTGGAGTTCATCCTAAGGTCGGCACTCACACTGTCATGTCAGCAACTAAATACATTTTGCCATAAGCGAGACATCAACGCGGAAAACTGCACACACCCAGACACGCTTCCAGAGGCGAACCAGCGAACCCAGCGGCGAGTCGACGAGAGAGCGCGGAGCGCGCGCTTCGCCCGCATCACTATGCCGACAGGAGCGCCGTGGTGGCCGTCGCGGCGGCGCTTGAAAACGAGGATCGCGCGCGCTCGGCGAATATGCGGGCGCTGGCGTCACCTCCCAATTCTAGCCACCATAGCAAGGCACCCGCCGTGCGTTTGCCATATTGAAGGTCATTATAAAACTCAAACATCTTGGCGAAATTATAGGTACCCGTATGAAACTCTATGGGTACCCGGCAATGCAGTTTACGAGATCTGATCTGATGGTAGCGCCAGAACACACAGCCTAGCGAGTTGGCGCAGCAAAACTGAGCCTTCCAATGAGTAGCCTGGCGATAGAGTGTACTAGAAGCTTTTGAGTGGCGCGAGCAGCTGCCTGGGAGCGGCCGTTTCGGCGTGGAATGATGCGGTGGCGCTGGCGTCGACCAATCTTCCCGGGCGGATGGCTGGCAGGCGTTCCGCGTACGTGTTGGTACCAAGGAGGATTAAAAAAATTGCTGGAGTGGAAATGATTGCGCAAAAGTGAAGCCGTTCCTCTGGCAAAATGGCGGTTGTGGCGGCCATCTTACTAGGGGCATGATAAAGTATCACCGATCAGCAATTAAAAACGAATCGTTTCCCTCGCACGCACAACGAGTTTAATGTGGGAACTTTTTCGGGCCACATAGTGCTCCGAGTGCGTCTTAAAGTTACTAGTTTTCCATAGTGAGCCTCTAATTGGAGGCAAAGTTCATTGAAGATTCAGTCATCTATACTTGTTTCTGTGTGTTATTTCGTCGGGAACAACTATCCTTTATTATAGAACTAATGTACCGTTTGCATAACGTATAAAAGCCACTTGATCTATAAGTGGGCACTATTAGAAAAGAGCAAGTTTCCGCCATCT